GAGAGAGAGAGAGAGAGAGAGAGAAGAGAGGGGGGTGTCCATAGCTCTCCGGAGAAAGAGAGAGAGAGAGAAAGAGATGTCCATAGATCTAGCGCTCCGGACCAAGAGAAGTACAGAGAGTGAGACAAAGAGACAGAGACAGAGAGACAGATGCCCATATATCTCTCTGGACAAGGGAGTTAGTTTCATCCAACATCAGCCGACCTGTCTGCAGCCTCTTTACATCAACATTCGTCTCATTTTTGTGTTTCCCGCACCCTCTGTTTATGGATGGACTAATGGTTTGTTGTATGGTGAGAAGGCGATTGTTAAAATGTTACGTGGGTGGGGGTCATTACTTATTTAGTTTTTAGATTGTTGATGTTGTGTTTGTGTTTATTTTTTTGGTCTAAATTATGGGTCGTTATCTCTGCATTTTCCCAGTGCTTCCTTCCTTCTCTCTCTCTCTCTCTCTCTCTCTCTCTCTCTCTCTCTCTCTCTCTCTCTCACTATCATTTTCTCTCACTATCCCTTTCTCTCTTTCTTATACATCAAATTAAGACTTTAAGAGCATCACCTCAGCTTACAAAGGCAGGACAGTGGTAGTTCTGACAAAGATGAGCTTTTAGATTAAATGTAAGGCAGTGTGGTGAAACCAGGTCTTCGTCAAAATAATTAAATCAAAGAAACATACATTTTTCCACCAGTTAGGCAATTTTTACTTTGGCTAAACACCTTTTATGTCCGTTTAGAAATACGTTTCTGTATGGATTTTACAGAAAAACTTTGATCACAGGAACAAAAAATGTTAATTGGTAGTTTCTAAGGACACTCAAGGTTTGGAAATTACAAAACTTTGGTGGTCATTTTCTCATTTGTTTTACCCCTGACACCTGGTGACTCATCCCTTTCTTTAACAAAAAATGGTTGCTTTTAAGCACAAGGCGGCTATATCGAAAAATGCTGTTTTGAGAAAATCGAAGGTAAAATTTTACCCCAAGTTCAGTTTCTTTAAAAGACAAGGAAAGTTTTTTCTATAACCAAACAAATATACACCCCAATGAAGCCAAACTTCTCCTATAGGTAGGGCAATGCCTACTTTTGGTGTAGGTCAAGATTTCTGGACACTCCCGAAATCTGGGTTAGCCAGCTTGTCCTTAAAAGTGACAAATATCTTGACCTTTATCCATAACAGGTTTCTTTTTTTTAAAATCAAAAGCAAGACAAATGAACTGATTTCAAGATGATACCAACAACTCCGTATGCCCCAAATCCTGACGAGCGCCTGAATCCACCGTGTCGCAACACAATCGTACTCACAACATTGTCTCTGAACGTGTCAAACGTGGTCACGACAATCTCCAGCTTCCCTCTCCCCACATCCTTCAGACAGGCGTCCTTGTCGGCCCCGTGGTATTTGCTGCGGAACACATCGACAGTTGCGACAGTCAGCTTAGTTTTAGTAAGTTTCACGGTATGCATTGTTGTTTTAGTAAGTGTTTTATGGCACTTGCAACACAATAAGGTCGTATAAGTGCCGATGATTAGAGGTGTTACAAGGGAGTAACAAACACAAAAAAAGAAGGAGAGGAGATAAAGACGACAGATATTTGATAGGAAAGAAGAAGCAAACCACACCAGAGCACCCGCCAACCACCCACACCCACAAGTATGCACTGTGAAAGACATCTTTTTTACTTACTGTAAGTGGTTTAATGCCCTCATCAACACAATTTAGATAATTTATTAAGAGGCCGAATTTTGACCCAGCCTAATAGGGCAAACCCAGACTGAGACGGATATGACATCTTAGCAGAGAGACAGAGGTAAAAATCCTCTCCTTTCCAGAATCAAACTCAATCTCCTGAATGAGACAGCGAAGTGCCTAAGTGCTACACCACAGACCCTGGTCAAACAAGTATGAACTGTTCCATATTTCATGGAGGTTAGGTTGTCAGCAACAGCGCGGGCGGTTGGTGGGTGGTCTGGTAAGTGGCTGTTATGTTCCTACCGTCAACCTACATGTATTTCCACACGGTTCATCAAACGACACCTGTCCCTACATGGGTGATCCCCATCATCCATCAAACATATCAAATCATCACCCACTATCACCATCACAACAACAACAACAACAAAATCAACAACAATAACTACTACATCATCATCATCATCACATCAACAACAACAACAACAATGTTAACATCAAAACAAAACAACAATAATAACTACTACATCATCATCATTATCACATCAACAACAACAACAACAATAACATCACAACAGCAACTGCATCATTACCATCATCACAGCAACAACAATATCAACATCACAACAACAACAACAACAACAACAACAAAATAACAACAATTACATTATCACCATCATCACAGCAACAGCAAAAACAGCAGCAACAACAACAACACAACAACAACAAACTACACAAAAACCTGAGCACACCTGGCTGTGAAATACCCCCAGGTGTTCAGCTCATCCAGCCAGTTATACAGGACGGCGCTCGGCCCAATGATTAGGAAAGGTCCGGAACTCGGGGCAGGCGGGCTGTCTGATTGGTCACCTGAAAGCTGGAAGGAAATTTTGGGGTTTTTGTTGTATGTAGGGTTTTCTTTTATGCCCCCATCGACACAATTTAGATAATTTAAGTCCCATCCTGTCTTGAGGAAATTTATAAGAAAAAAAATCGTTCATTATCTGTAAAGTAATACATTCAGGGCCAAAGCAAAATATACTTTTCAACAGAGCTGATCATTTTACACAACAGATACAGCTCCAGACAATGACAAAGAGAAAACACAAACTTTTTTTAAAATTTTATATTTAGCTGTTTTTACACTCCCATCCGCACAATTTAGGTCATAAAATAAAAAGGTCAGTTTCAAACCTTGCCTGCCAGAGCCAAATTGGGCTGAGAGGGATACAGCTTCCCAGCAGAAAGACTGAGATACCTGATTTTAAATTCTTCCACACTCAAGAATCGAACTTGGGTGTCTTGCATGCGACAGTGAAGCTCCTAACCACCACTGACATTTACCTTCTGGGCCCTTAAAAAAATTTTAAGAGTTTTATGATGCAACACAAATAGGTTATATAAGTGTTGAAGATTAGAGGTGTTACTAGAGAGTAACATACAAAAAAAAGAAGGAGTAGAAATAAAGACGAGAGATGTTTGACAGGAAGGAAGAAGCAAACCACACCAGAGCACCCGCACACCACCCACATTTGAACCCTGTACCAAGGCAAAACTCATTCTGGCAAAATGTTCTTATTTGTCTCAAAACCTTCCTGACCTGTCTGATAAACTTGGGCAGCTTCACATCCTTATGGTTGCCTTTCTTGCCCAGCAATGCCGACAAAAATCCTATGACCTGAGATAAGATACAACAAGATGAGAAGAGATGAAATATAGCAAAATGAGACAACGTATGAGAAGATGAGATGTGATATGATGAGATAAAAAGAAGAGGTAAGATATGATAACATACATTTATTATAAGATATGATATGATGAGATAAGATATGAGAAGATGAGGTAAGATATGACAAGTGATCTTTTTTATTAGCTTTATTATTATTTTCATTATTACTCTATGATATAAGCTGATTCACCTGTATGGTTTTCCCCAGGCCCATGTCATCACCAAGAATAGCCCCCGTGTTGTTGACATAATGCTGGTACAAGAACCGTATCCCGTCTCGCTGATAGTCTCGCAGATACTGGTTGATTGTCGCAGGAACCTGAAAGTGAAAGAAGGAAAACTGTAACAGAATGCTGGAAAGTTCACATTAGTGTAAAAAGTAAGTGTATGGGTTTAATGTTCCCATCAATACTACTACATTATTTAAGAGACAGGACCTACCTCCGAATCTAACGTCCGTCTCTGATAAGACTGAGCTAGATGAGTTGAGAGTCAAAATGATCTGAGTTCAAGAAGGTCCAATCTGAAATTCAAACCAAAGCCATCCACTCCATAGTCCAGCATGATACCAACTGAGCTAACAGACCTCCCCCAAAAAAGTCTTAAAAACTCTGCAGAACGTTCCATAACCACAATTAAGAACATTTAAGTGGCGGGCTTCCAACTCTACCGATCAGGGCCAACCCCAGCTGAGAGGTATACAATGTCCCAGCAGGAAGACCCGAGATACTTGATAAAAATTTCTCCCTATTCCTGAATCGAACTCGGGTCACTCGAGATCTTGCGTGCCAAAGCAAAGCGCCTAACCGCTACACAACAGATGCCAGTATGTATGTTCAGGGGAGATCAAGTTGTGTACATTCAAACAGGCCTTACCTGAGACAAGTGTGATGGGATACACAGCAGCAATAATACAGATTCTGCAAAAACCAGATCAGTACAGATATAAAACAAAAATCTTTAAATCTGTCAGCTAGTTGTAATGTAAAGAAAACCTATATATTAATATTTTTTAAAAGTATGCAGGCTCTCAGGAAAATAAAATGGGTATCAACTGAGAAAACTTTGCAAGCCACACTTTTTCTGTCGGATTCCGCTATGTCAGAAAAGTGTACACCCGCCCCGAGACTCAGGCACTGACCTGAACAGGGGGCTCTACTCCGTCTGCCGACAACCTGAAGTCCACTTTGGCAGCCACTGGAGACACGGCCAATTTCGGTCGTTCTGTGTCACTCAAAGAGAAACCTGCGAGATGACGAAACAATGTTCTTGAAATGAGTTCCGTATGTTACTATCTAAAATAAGGCTGCTGTCGAAATAAACTTTAATATGCATTGCTGTTGATTTCCTATCTAAGCACATAATATATATACAAATATATATACATATAAAACTTTCAAAAATCTGTGATGAATTCCAGAGTGTGGCTTGAAGGACATTCTCATGTGACAGGTCATATTCTTGTCAGATATTACTTTTCTCTTCAAGTTAAAATTCTTTCATGAAAGTAATACCCAATATACATTCTAAGTAAATCTATGTACTTTTACCATTCCTGTGAAGCCACAAAAAATTTCCCACAAGGACGATAAAGTATCATCTTATCTTATATCATTGCGCATAGGACGTATCTATGGATAAAACACAATAAATATGTTCATTGGATAACATGCACCAACTTTTTCTGCACAAGTACCATGATCGTAGTGGATTTTTCATCAATAATTAATATAGTGTAAAGCAATCATAATAATAATAATTACATTTATATAGCGCATATCCATGCCCAAGAGCATGCTCTATGCGCTTTACAACTATAAAGCACATAGAGCTTCCAGTACAGCTGGGTTATGCCCTACTCAAATGCTATTCATTATTATTATTATTATTATTATAAATAACAACACTTCAAGATATAACAAATCAAAGTTTTTTACTAACCTATTTTTTATCAGCAGTTTTTGATCTTGGATAACTTACTGATTACCTGACCAATGGAGTTTGTTTCCTATATCAGCCACCATTGAGTTTTTTGCGGGGTCTAGTTTTGTATTTCAAGGATAAGACACAGGGTGACTTTAAGTCTTAATCTCCAAGGGGGGAAACACACTATGGCGGGGTTTTCTTTTGGTACGAAATCTAAAATTGACACATACGTCACTAAATTGGTCGTTAAATCAAAACAGGTTGACCTATCCTGATAGTTCTTCATCTAATGAATAAACTTCAAGTAAAACAGACATGTTTTCAGCAATAGCTGAAAAGTCATTTGAAACCGAAGTCGTCTTAAAGGAATGTGCCCGAGCCGCTGCCAGTGACTCGCCAGCACAGCGGTTCTGACCGCAAGCCGGAGAAAAGGAGTCAAAACCCTGATTTTTATGTTAAAAAGTTGCCTCCTATACGCGATGATATACTGACAAGAGAATTTATAAAAATGTATCATTCTTAAACTCGTTACCTTCCACAGTGCTGCCAATCTTTGAGCCTTCCACAGCGCTGCCAGTCTTTGAGGGGCCAACTCTGTCCCCAGACTCTTCCTTCACTTCCACTTCTTCATCACTTGAAGAATAATTTTCAATAAAATCATCAGTTACTACATTCACCTTCCTTCCTCCGTCATCAGAAAGTTCCCTTGACCTTGGTACATCTTTTAACGTACCCTGAGATTCCTTATGAGGTGGTGAGTACTTTGATGGTGTCGTCTGATCCTTTCTGTCTTTATTGCGACCGAACTGTGACACAGATTCCTTCACCACCTTTGTTTTGGAAGTTTTTGCTTTAGTCGCTGGACGGTATCCACTCGCTGGGGTTCCTCTCTGTGTGCCTTTTGACTGAAGCCATTGCGAGTCATCCAGTTTCCAGTCTGAGACCTTTCCTCGATCCGACTCTTGAGGTTCGTTGTCTTCGTCCGAGTCCCAGTACTGCTCATACTTTTCTCTGGAAAATTAAATGGGGTGTTTGGGGGAAAGGGGGGGGGGGAGGCTATAAATTACATATTCACTACAAACAATTTCTTTAGAAGAGACAGACATCCTAATTATCATCATTATCACTGACAAAGCACATATAATGGATCCCGTAAGAGACTTTCCCAGCCGCATGTACCATGATCACAAAACATTAATTAAACAGAGCACTTATCATATGGCCTATACGCGCCTATAACATGACCTCACATATAACACAGGGGGTATACTTTGACTCCAAAATCGACCCATTTTTGTAGGTAGTAGGTATAATACAAGGTGAATTTCTGATATACTGAAGGAGACTCAACATGCATGACATCAAGTACTACTTGGGCATCTACTATAGCATCTTGTCTTGAAGATCTGTACCTTATTAATTTTACCTGTGAAACAAGGCTTAATTAAGTGTTGTCTGCAACTACTACTACATCAACATCATTGCTGAGGAAATATTTATTGCATTTTAGGAAAGTACTGACTACTGATGACAACAGAAAATTAAGCACTCAAAATCTTGATTTCTGGTAGATTCTACAAGATGACATAAACTTACGCTAGTTTAGCTTGGTTTTCCCCACCCCTCAGTGGCATGTAGAAGTTAGATGACTGGGCTCCTCTCTTCATGGTTACTTCACAGTGGGACCCTCACTCAGGAGACGAAATCAGTTCAGAAAATCCTAACTGAAACAGAAACAAAGAAAACTAATGCATGAGAGTACGCACTTATATGACCTTGTTGTAAAACTCTTACTAAAACTAATGCATGAGAGTGAGTGACCCTGGCCCACTGAGGGCCCACAAAAGTTTTATCTAATTATGGCATGGCAGTTTTCCTTCTTTAAAAAACAAAACCATAAAAGCCAATGTAACTTATTTTGTAACTGAGCACAAATACCAAGTTGTACTTTGCTTTGACATTTTTAAGCTCATTCATTCCTCTTCATGTATTTCGAAAGTGGTCTATGATTTCTTTGCAAAATATGAGAACACCAGCAAGCAAGAAAAGAGAAAAGAGTGTATTCTATTAGACAGAAGTGAAAGGGCACTTATTTCACAAATTTCTATCATTCTAGTATTACTATTACTAGGATGGAAAAGGCTAGCCGTACTTAATGACGGCTAGACTGCTAAAGTACGGCTGGACTGCTTGGCTAGTCGTACTTATATGATGGCTAGATTGACCAAAAAAAAAAGTAATTGTAAATAAATTTTTAGTTTGCAGTAACCTAAAGTATGAGACGGAACCACGTGCCTTACTGACAGTGCAAGTATTTTAAACCTGAATAATTACTAATGAGACTTGTTTTCTAATATTAATTATAATAGTATTAATAGGCCCTAAGATAAGTACAGCTAGACTGGTTAGGCTAGCCGTACTTAAGGACAGGCTAGCCGTACTTAATAATGATGGCTGAATTGTAAATGAAATTTTTAGTTTGCAATGCCTAAAACTAAAGTGTATTTCAGACAAAATCAAAAGATGCCTTGCACGTATTTTAAACCTGAATAATTACTAGATATAGATATATATCTAGATATCTAGATCTAGATCTAGATCTAAATCTAGATCTATATCTAGATCTAATGAAACCTGTGTACTCAGCAGGTTTGAGTCAATAGGGCCAAACCTAGACTAATTTAAGTGTACGGCTGGACTCTCCTCAGCTAGCCACTTCGTATATATTTTAGTTTCGAAGTGGCTAGCCGTACTTAAGGCTAGACACAAACTAAAGACTAAAGAAGCTGAACAGTCAGAAAAGACAGTCAGTGTAGTGTAAGTGTTGTTACAACAATTACAATGGTTCAGTCTGAACAATCATATCCATATGAATTGAATGGAGGGGGGCAATGCAGGACGGTGTCACACCAACGGACAGTCAGCCTCGGTGACAATCCTCACGTTTACCTCACATTGTGATTGCAAACTTCAATTATTTCTTTGGAAGCTGATTTCATTGTTTTGATAAGACGATTTAAGATGTCTCCATTGCTTGAACGACTTGAACGTCTCATTTCTTTGTACGTGCTTTGATTCCAGTTTCCAGCAGTAACATTTCAACAGACACCATCGTTTTGAAAAGTATTGGCAGTTTTCATTCTCAAAAGAAAACGGAATAAAACACAAGCAGAAGAGCAACGAAAATACAAAGTAGAATGGGAGACAGAGGGGGTGGAGAGGGGAGGGAGAAAGCTGCGAAAGATG